AGAAGTCAAGATATACAGTTGAGTGTCATTGGAATATTGATGATGCTTCTGTCCACCTCCAGCTCGTGTAACCAAATAAAGTCCAGGATTTTTTTCATTTCAATAAGCTACATGCCTTATTATTTTCATCTTGTTAACTTCATATGTTGAATTCCATTGAAATAATTTATCCAGTGGCTTCATGTAAATGTTAACCAGGAGTGGGGAGATTTAAGCCCTGAGGCACCTAGATGAAAGGGATCATGATACAGACCGGTATATAATAACAACATTAATACTAACTGGGATCAAATCCAGAGAAAGGAGGAAAAGTGCATAATGCTGTGTCTCCAGCTCCCTATCCATGAAACTTACCATTGTTACTAATATCAAAAAATACTGAGAAATCAAGAGAGAACAGGTGATGCACTATCTCCACCCCATTCAAGGTGCCATCCAGAAGTCATGTGCCATTTCCATCCCATCCTGAATTCAACTGAAGGGGTCCAGATAATCTACCTCCTTCAGGACCCTCTGAAGCTCTAAGGCTACCTGCAGGGAAGGTTAAGACAGGGCAAAAGTTGCCCAAAACAGTCAGGACTAAGGATGGTTTCTTGAGGAGGGGGTGCACCACCATCACTCTCAAGGATTCATTTATCATAGCCCAGATTCAACCATATATTACCTTCCAGACAGCTTTGGCTAGCTAGAAAAGATAAGAAACTAACACTGAATGGCTGAACTTTATAACTGAGAACCCCATTGAGGTTCTTGGAACTAACAGGATCAAACTCAGCCAGATAACATAAGCCAGGATGTATTCAACTCTATAGAGTTTGTTGCTAGAGAATTGCCTGTTTGGACTGAGAATTCTTAGGCAATCTATTTTGTTGATGCAAAGTAAAACAATAACTAATGGAGAACAGAGTTAGTCAGACAAATCTGGCTTTAAAATTATAGAAGATTCTGATTGTTTGGTAATTTTGATAAAACAGAGATTGAGGTTCAAATCCACCCTTAGGTTATGAAATCACATTGGCTGACAGCTTAATTCATCCTTTCCTCCTCCTTGTGGGAAAAAATGGAGGATAGAGTACTATGTGCACTGTTTTTAGCTTCTGTAGTTTCAGTAGATAAGATAGACATGTAATCAACAAATGCATCAAATATGTGAGGGACTGCTTTCTTGCCATTAATAGACCTCCACTGGACAAAAATTAGCTTATATTATATGTCCTTTTATCTCTTTTTCAAATCAAGCATTGCCTTCCTGTAGAATTATGCAATAGAAAAGATTTGGTTCAATGAGCAAATGACATGAGGAATATAAAGGTACGAGGCATTCACAAAGTATGAAGGGAAAATCTATTTTCAGTAGATCTGAATAATTTCTGAGAAGTTGTGAAAGGGCTGCTATGTTTGAGGGATTAATATAACCTTAAAATGGCAGAAGACTAATAATGGAGGGAAGGGTAGAGAGGAAAATCCCGAATAACAGTACACACTTTATACAGAATAAGAAGACAAGACTACACAAAGTCTAGGAAAAAAATAAGCAGTAAGAGATTTTAATTTAATTGTACATCTTCTTAGTAATTCTTCGCAAAATATTTTAACAGGAAACCATTTTAAGTGTCTTAATTTGCTCTTTCCATTCACTCTCGTAGTACAATCATTTTACAAAAGAGCTTGCCACAATATTATTTTTTAAAAATAGGTTCCTAAGTAAGGTTTACACTATATCATTTAATGAAATTAATTTTTCTTACTCACTGAGTTAGATAAAAATAATGATAATGCAGTACTATATTTTAAGGCCATGCCCATATCTACGCATGGGCAGCATGAATAACAAGAGCATTTCTGTCTCTAGAAAATTAATCTTCAATATAGTGAGAGATTAAAAGTGAATCATTTTAATTTCTTATTATAATAGTCCAAGAGTGTGGATCAGTTTTTCACATCAGAGAGTAAATCCTCATTTTCTTTAAATTTCTGTATGTTTCTGCCAAATGCAAACCTTTATGGAAAAAAAATCCAAAAGGCATTAAATAAGTTGCAATTGTATGTATGAAGTTAAAATTAAAACTGCACACAAAATCACAAAATGGCAGCCCATTGTTGGGAGATGTGTTCTGTCCCCTAGAGGAGTCAATATATATAGTTAAACATGTCAACTAATACCATTACAGATAGCTTACCATTAGCATAGCACTATTATGATTATCAACTTAATTATCAAAATAAAGGATGCATACAACAAAATTTAACAATATAATACAACTTTAATAATAATGATAAGGAAAAAGGGAAAAATGGGCATGGGAAAGTTCCTAGCTCTTAAAAGAATTGACCCAAAAGCTTCTTTTTGTCTTTCATTAAATCCCTTCCCTAAATTCAAATGCTGACAAAACAACACACATTAGCAGTACCTCAGGTGTAAATTTATAACTTTTCAATGATTTCAATATTGGGGATAAAGCCAAGAAGAACATATGCATCCTGAATACATTGATTGAACCAGAGACATATTACCGATCGTAAACCAAAACAATTCAATAAGAAATTTAGTTGAATTGAATGAAAAAGCACTCTGTAATAAATCAGATGTATTTTTAATTCAGAGAAAGAAAACAGCTTCCAAACTTAGTTGAAGCCAGATATGATTCATTATTTTTAATCTGGGATTATCCTGTAAGGTAAACTTTTCATGAGTAAAAAGATCTATCAATTTATGTTTTCTACTCTGTCCGTGTATGTGCATAAATATACATACATACAAAGAGAGGCATAAATACGTTTATGCTGTTGTTGTTCGTCCATCGATTTCGATGAAGACCTTGACATCTTGTGGGTTATGGGCCATCAACGATGTGTCCGTAGGTGGCTAATGAGACCGATGTTAGCACGGAATGTTCTGTCTGCCACATACTGAACACACGTTTATGCACACACACTGACAGAGTGGCCACATACAGACATGTGTACATGTGATGGATTAAACATTGGAAAGTTTCTCAAAACATAAATCAGCATTGAAGTTAAGGTCACTTTAATCACCTGGATCATACTCCAAATATTGAAAAAAATTCTAAATCTCTGTCTAGAAAGATTTTAGTTTTCCTCACAAAGAGAAGCGAGTTTAAATTGACTAAATGTCTATGGAGATTCTCAATCATCCAGGTCCAGAACTGAAGAAGCTTCTTGGATGAGAAGCAAAATGTCTTCAAGGAAAAAGAAAGTCCAGTTGCCTTTTGAAAGAAAAAAAAAAAAAAACACCTTGGGGACATTCAAATTGACTAGTTCAAAGAATTCTTATTCCAAGATATACAAAGGAATCAAAGCATAATCTAAAACTCCCATCCTTAATACTTGTTAAAAGTGTTGCTATCAGCCTGATTTATTTCAATTTATATATTCCCAAATAAAGAAATGAGATTTGGAATAGAAATTTCTGCTATCTACATGACATCTCCATTTAGTAGATTTTGATATTCTGTCCTGTACTATAATAACCTACTATCATGTTTTCAAAATTCCTAAAGAGGTACCAAAATCAAATTTAAAACAAAGTGAAAGGTTGTATCCTTCAAAATAAATTAAACAAGAAGTAAACATTGTAAAATAAGGTGATCTTCAATAAGCAGATAAAAATGATGGCTAAGCAACACCCTGTCTTTGATTATTTCTTCAGTTAAAAAGGACACTGCAGAGCTGTTACATGTGGCCTGTCTGTTTCCAGCCACCTCTGAAGTGGAAAATGCTTTCTCCCAAACTGAATTATAATTCAACTGCTTCTAGAGGCTCAGATAAAACTGGCATTATCCATATTGTTACCCATATCTAATTTCAGACTGCAATTGATTACAAGATCTCCAGTATTGGTACTATTTAAACATCATTTTAGGTAATGTGCAACAGCTGGCATGTCTTTGAAAGCCTTTTTCCTAGCTGAAATATTTCCTACCTGTTGGTTAGCCTTGAACTTATTACTTATCCATGTATATGGGCTGTCCATTTAGTTGTTTTAACTTAGTAATGAAAGCAGATGGTCACAATGAGTGATTAATTAATCAGGTGAGACAAATTGGCTATCTGAATTATTTTGAAAGAATGCTGAATTGCATTGAGATGAGAGTACCTTTCTCTCTGGGTAGTGAGACAATTGTTGGGAGTGAGTGATTCCTCAGATTTCTGGCTATTCTGTTGTTGTAAATAAGATGCAATTTAACAATGCTTACTGAAAGAAAGCAACAAATCAGTCTTGCAGTTTTTTGTTCCAAAAAAGTTAATAATGTAATACAGTACAGCATTATTATAATACAAACATGAGATTGATGATGATCTATATTCTATTTCTACTGTGGAGTGCTGCACTGACATTTTTGTTTAAATGTGTATTTGGAATTTTCTGATATTTAATATATTTTTACAGTGATTGTGAAAACCAATAAGGGGTAGCGTGCCCTTCCATAATTAAGCACATATACAAATGCCTTCCTAAAATGCCTACACCACAAATACGTTAATAGTGATTCAAAATTATGAGGTGGTAGTGGTACTGAAGTAATATAAATTATTTTCTGTTTTAAATATAATGTTATGTAAAATTCATCTTTTTACTCAAATCACTAATATTCATTAGCTGTACCTATTTTTATTTATTTGTTTCCATTTTATCTGTTTGTATGATCATATATCACTATATATTGACTTTGCAGTAGAATTTGGCTCCACAGATGCTGCTGTTACCATGGAGATAAAAGGACCAATGGCCTTTTTCTAGCTTGGACTGTACTATGCTGTTCATAAAAAGACGGTGAATTCTAAAACTGTATCACTAGCTTGCTTAAAAAAGACTCAAAATTGAATGTCATAACGGAGTTCAATTAGGATTATATTGCTAATCTAAACATAAACACATGATATTTCACCAGACAGAAAATATAAAGACAAATCAGTGTGAATCCTGAGCTTGTGGTTTATACATCTGCTAATCCTCCTCTTTAAAAAACAAAACAAAAACCTTTTGCTTTGCAAATATAACCCCTTAGAGTGTTTGGGTTCATCTGATGCAGTATTTGATGCTGGTTACATCACAGACTTCTTAATCTGTGCTGTTCCTCTGTGGCCGAGAGTTGAATGAGCATGTGAAAGCTGTGAACGTGAATTTTGATTCTTGGAAAAGAGACACTTAGACACCTATACAGAGATTTTTTTATGAAAACCGAGGATGGCTTGCAGAAGGTGTCATTTGTAAGTATTCTCTTCCTTTGTAAAAACTCAAAAGAACTGATATTTGCTGAAGGGGACAAAGAATCTACATTACTCAAGATGATAATAGGAATAACAATTAATTCACTGTACAGCAGCTTTCTTTTCAAGAACCATTTTATGGGTGTTTCCTCTTAGTACTTTACTGATGTGCATTTTAGAAATCTACAGTTTGAAGTCTTCAAAGCTTTAAAAGTAGAAATAATTAAGCATGGTAAAAAAAGGAAAAGAATTTGTTAGTGGAAAAATGAAATTGAAAAATTCTGTTTATAAGGCTTTGATTATTAATATTGCATTGTTCAGTTATTATGAAATTCTTTTGTTAAGGCACATTTAGGATATATGTTTAGATTATTTCTGGATGCTCTTTGATATTGTTTGTGGCACTTACACATTTTGTCATGCTGTTTATGTATTTTGTGTTTCAATACTCATATGAGCATTGCAGGAATTTGGTACTCGGAGTAAGATATTTGGTTTTTTGTGTGCCATTGATAAATATAAGATTTATTCAGATTTTTTTTATATCGGACCACATTTTTTAAATGATCCTAATGGCTTTAATACTTAAATGCATTATTACAAGTAGTTAAATTACTGTGTCATATAATTTTTGAAAGCAAATATATGGTGAATGTATGATAGTATTATATTTCATTGTAACTTGATAATTCCACCATTTTGTTTGAAACATGCAAGTCGAGAAGTTTACAACTCTAAACTCATTATTTTTACATCTATATTTATTCTATATATGCTACATTTTCCTCTGCATTGATGTCAATGCAGTCCAAGAGTGTGGTTAGTGTTCAGATCTATTATTATAATGTGCATGTCTGCATAATTTTATCCTCTAATGCAAAGAAAAACTGCTCATGCCACGGACAGATATCTTGAAATTAACCAGTGGCTATGCAGCATGGTTTCTGCTATAATTCACCTTCATTGAAGCTTAATTGGCATCTCAGCCGAAGTTAAATTTAAACCAATATAAATTCAATTTTAAGAAGCAATTGATTTCAAGGTTTGATATTCATAGATAATTTTTCATTACTCAGATGAAAAAGAAGGTCAAACCCTGGTTTCAGTGTGACTAAATTGGCTTTAATCCTAGAACTTTAGCTCCACTGACTTGTGAATTAAGCTTTTGGGCTGCAGCTCATTTCATTTACCTTTAATGGGGTTGTTCTGCTGGATATGATGATTTTTAGCCTTGAACTCCTTATTCCACAGTAATGGGTATAATGAGAATTGTACCCTTAGGACAAAAGAATGATGATGCCTTTAAATTTAGTATTATCTGAATGAACATTGACATTTATGTCAGGTTTACTTTGCCCAGATTCAGAGATGACCTTAGTAAACATATTATATTAGTTACTTATTTTGCCATATGCTAAGCTGTCATATAAAAAAGAAATTCTACCTAGATTTCACTTGCATATATTTTGGAAGATTAACTATGCTTAACTTGATTTTTATTGGAGTCAGCATCTATTCAGTTTCAACTTACATATATTTGCTACATGATATATACAACTTGGTATTCAGATACAGAACTATTATAATATGGTAATTGTTTTCATAAATATGTAATCAAGATTGCAACAGCTTAAGATGACATGCAAGGTGGAGGTTGTCATAGTTTTCTGATCTTGTTTAATTCCTTGATGTGCTACTTATCTACTACGTTGTACTGTACTAGAATGCTAGTGGATCTCTTCAAGTTGTTTATATTTAGAGGTTGTTTCCTCTGACAATAATGTCAATTCTTAATTTTTATGAATAATTTAAATGCACCTTGCCATCTGTAAAAGTGCCAGGATCATATTTTTCATACAAGAGGAATCTTCATTTCATTTCATTTGAACATTATCTTTTGGCTTGTTTGACTGAAATATTATTCATTTTTTCAAATGATTATATTATGAGCTGTTTAGAGTTTATTGAATGTGGCAGACTATAATTGGGTAGTAAATACATATGTACTTATGAGGAAAAAATATTCCTAATTATTTGTCTTTTTAATAGATATGTGCTATTTCCTCTACAAAAGTGTTCTGTAGGACATAGTACTTAGTAATTAATAACCATACATATATTAAATAAAGTTTACACAGAATGTATCTTGATATTTTAAATAATGCCTGTTAAAATTTTTCTGTGTAGATGTGCTTTAATATATGCAGTAGTTATAATTCACATAGATAATGTCAGAGAACATTTATTTTCAGCTTGGTACAAGAAATAAGAATAAAGTTCTGGATTTAACTGGTCTCCTTACCAATGGAATGGAATATGTACAATTGTACTGGATAATAACTCTGCTTTGAGATGAATATTTTCATTTCATTTGTTTTAGGGAACTTTTTTTCCTTTGAGAACAAGTAATTACAATGTATTGCTGCGTTGAGAAAACAAATTTGCAATCTTTAGTGTCTTTTCTTCTATTGGTGATATATTTTCTAAACAGTATAATAAGAATTTGTAATTGTATTCTTAATTATTTGAAAGGCGTGTAAGTGCAGTTTTCACAATAATTTGTTCAGTTTAAAATATATTATGAGTGCTGTTTCTTTTTCTTTTCTTGTGTACTTTTTATCTTTTATTTGCACATGACTTTAGATTGAAAAATATTTAACTGTTGGTCATTAATATTAAATTTAGTTATTATATATGATTTAACTCTTCTACATATAATCAAATAATAATTTTAATTTCAATTGAAATTGAATTTTCTATGACTTGTATATTATGGTGTTGCCTCTTGCTACAAAAATTGGCTAGTTTGAAATAACAGGAAAGGATACATAGACAATAAGGGTATTATGTTTTAAAGTATATGCTTGCAGAGAAATATAATAAGAAATCTAGTTTCTATTGCTGTGATTAATTTTCAGATGTAACATCTAAATGATTTTAAATCTAAAACATGAATTTCAGGATGCTCACATTTTGCCTCTGGCTATGATCTATTTAAAACTGGTAGATAAAAATAACCACTGTAAATATATCTCATAAAAATAGACTAATAAGGTGATGTTAAGAGTTCATGCCTATTTTATAAATGTTGGTAACAGCAACAACAAAAGTAATAGATTCTATTTAAATCCCCATGAATAGATATTTTTCCTTTGGGATATTTGCCTTTGTTCAGGAAAAGACAATAGAGATTTCACATTTAGAAATCTAAGAAGTGTGTTATAGAGTAATGATTCATAAAGCAAACTGTTAGTTCTGAATTAAAGATTTCTGACACAGAATTTTTATATCTAATAGCAATACAATTGGGATAGGTGAATTGTTTCTAATAAGGCATGTAAGCCAAAACAAGTACATAAAGTTTGTGCAGACACATTATTATGTACAGTATGATGTATAATCTTTATGCAGTAAAATCAAGACATATAATTCATTTTCATCCATATCATGTATATGTCCCATTAGTGCTGTCTTGGAATGACATAGCAAGCTATGGTAGCTACTTTTTACAGAAAAGTTATTTGTACAATCATTGTATGGCGGGTGGGATATAGACAATTTAGCATCTGTTGGACCTTATGTGGACTGGATTTAATAAACAGATTACATGCATAGGCATTGTCACGTCAGATAAATATGTTTGTTTGAACAAGGCCATCAAACATTGTCCTATTCTGTTCTCCAACTGTGACAATAGCTAAAACCACTTTATTGTTGAAACTCACATTAATTTCTAGGTCTATTTTGCAAATTTGTAATGGGACACTGCATAAATAATTTATCCACTTTATGGCCACAATGTGAAAAAATGTGGTTGAGATTATTTTAGGATACATAAATTCTGCCTCCTCTTACTTTCACATACATAGGTGAAAAAATCCATGGCACATATCCTTCATATTCAAGATGATGCTATAACACTTTGAATACCAGATGCTGGTGACAATATGGGGCTAATGTATTCTATTTAAATTATTCAAGAAGCACTGTCTAGGTGTTAATAAAATTTAGGGCTGAAAAGGGCTTTTTTTCTTTCTTTTTAATAATGCAAAAAGAAGTAGAAGATTGCATGCAAAAATATAGGCTGCTTGATATATTGCCTATACTACTTTATGTCAAATTGGGCATGCTGTTGCATGTTCTCAATTTGCTGTGGCTTGAATTTGGGGTAGATATAAATATAGCTTTTTTCTCTTCTTAATGAACTGTTGTGTAAATCTGTTGTATGTCTTGTCATTTTCATAATACTAATTTTGTCAATATTATCAATTTCAAACAATAGAATCTACAAATAATTAGACAGGACTATTATAGGGATGCCTGGGAATATGATTTGTGTCTTATGTATAGGATTTGCATTTTATGTAATAAAGACAATTTATGAAACCATATCAGGATTTAATCATTCTGCCTATATGACATTGTAAGAGGAGAATTCTCTTGGTTCTCCTGCTTTGAGTTTGTTTGTTTGCTTCAACTATACCAGGCTTAATTATACTATTTATAGGAAACCAGAGTTCTCTCAGATATTCTCTCTGAAATTAGTTTTTATCAGAGCGTTTATCACAGCCAACATACATTTTTAGCTTAGCCTTCACTTGCAGTGAGCAGTGAGCATATGATTGTGCAGGTAACATTTTGGTTCCTGTGAAATAGGAACTGTGACTGTGAAATTGAAGCTTGATGGAACAACACAAGTCCTCTTAAACTATGGTGTAGTGCTCTAATATCTTGACCGAAGGGAAAAAAAAATATGGTCATGTTTCTGTCTTAAATATGAAGCAAAGTCAGTGTTTTGTTTCAAATATTTGTATTTAGGATTGGCTCCATGATGACTCATCATATCAGTTACATGTGTATGAGTTATTACAGAGAAAATTACAGCCATAATCTATAAATTTATCTGCAGAAATTATCTTGTGCTACAGATATATGATTTAAGAATATAAAACTATGTTATTAATTTAGGTGACAATTACGCCAGCTTTCAGGATAGCCTTGGTGCATTTTAAATGAAAAATTAGAATCATTTTACAGAATAACAGAGTTGGAAGGGACTTTGGAGGTCTTCTAGTCCAACTCCCTGCTCAAATTATGCATACCTAAATAAAAAAATGTAAACTAGAAAATAGAATTATGTCAATTTTTGCCTTATAACTAGAATTCATTTTCATTAAAAGCTTATTTCAATTCAGAGGAATGGCTAAATACAAAAAATATAGCATTCACAGAGATGTAAAATATATATTTTTTATTTAATTTACATTGGTTCTGCATTTATTACAAACAGATTGTTAATATACTTCAGTCTTATGGAATTTAGTTCTAGGAAATTATTTTATGATTTAATTGGTAAGGTTATAAATATATATTTCAATAATTTATTATTTCAAATGGTAGAAATATTTATAAAGAAAATCTAGGAGATAAATATGATAAAATAAGAACCATTAAAATGGATTTTTTTAAAGTAAGGCTTTAAAAAAAAAAGCTGGATATTTCAGTGTAAGGGTAAAGGAATGATCTAAGTATTTTCCAAGAATCTTTGTGTCAAGTTCCACACCATTCACATTACATTGTTACACTTCATGTGAAGATAGGAAATGAGAAGGTGCATCTAAGCAGATGATAGTGAATCTGAAAATAGCAAGGCAGCTGATAGTTTATGATGGAAATAGATAGATAGATAGATAGATAGATAGATAGATAGATAGATAGATAGATAGATAGATAGATACTGATTGTACATGAAATTCTTCTGATGGTAACTCCTTTCTAGATAGTGTACTAGTAAATTTTGTCCAAAATTTCCATTTTGGTTATGTTTTCTCAGTTTTATTCCCTTTTGTATCACTGTAGGTACTTTAGGATGAAACATCTTTAAAATAATTGTAAGAATACCCAGATATTTGTTGGGAATTAAGACACAAATTATCATTAAAATAAACATTTTGAGCATTTTTAAGAAAGGGAAATATTTTAAAACTGAAATCATTGGTAATGCACATCTTAAACCATGGATTTTTCCGTTGTTGTCTTAAGAGGAACATTGAGAAGTGGAATGCATTCAGACAAGAGGTATTGGATGATAACGTTCTTGGAAACCTAACCTGAAGATAAAGCATGTTAAAAGAAAAAAGAAAAAAAATGAATAAAGATATGAGAGCGGTCTACAAATGCCACATGTTAGAAGGGGTGGATTTTGTTCTGTTAAAACCGAGAACATGACAACTGATTTGAATTTCCTCCTCTTAAATAGTGGAAGAATCTATCTAAAATATGATAGGATCCTCTTGCTATGTTTTTCAAATGTGGGCTAGATGACCATCTTTCAGGAATGGTCTGAAATGGTTCAATGGAATCTTGCAATGGGCAAGTTTTACAATGGGCAAGTTTTGGACTAGATGTTCTAAAAGAACACTTCCAATTGGCATACTATGGAGGAGTATGTTTGCATATATTAGTGTGTAGAATAAATATTATTCTATGTCTAACAATGTTTCAAAATATATTTTTTCTTAATATCACAAATGTATTTGAAACTTTGGCATGCACAGGGAGTTTCTCTGTCCAATCTTCTGTAAACGCTCTCGCCCAATTAATATCCTCACCAACCTTTGTGAGTATTTTCAAAGGGGATTGTAGGGTGGGGTGGGGTTGTCGCTTTTGATGAGATGGTATCTGGATTCAAACGTTTTGAATTTTCTCCTTCTCCTGTGTGATATTTATACTATTCCTAAATAGTAATACATAAGAATTCAGTTTTGCTTTTGGATTTCATGTTTTTGCTCACTGGCAGACGTGTCCTATTGCTAAACATAAAAGAATAAAATATGTTTAAATTTAACCAGTTATTTTCAACTTTATGAATGCTGAATAGTTTTTACCTTGCTGTGATGTATGTATGTAACTTTGGATGGAAAAAAATCAGACCAACCTGATTTTTATATTAAAAAGACTAGCTTGATATAATCCCCCTTACTGGAGACTCACAGCATAACATATTCCTACTTAATTCCTCTTTTTGATCTCATAAGAGGATGACCTCAAAGGACTTGCTCTTCAATATACTATATTTTGAAGCTTCTCAGGAAACGGCTGCAAGCAAAACAACAGAAGAAAGCAAAATAAAATGCGATTATGTGTAATATTTTAATCTTGTCATAAATAGTTTCAGGTTTTAAATGAATTGCGTATATTGGGTACAACTTCATTTGTTTTGAAGTGCTCATGTAATTTTCTTATATTTTTAAACTGATTTAATTGTAACTTTATATTGGAAATACTTTATTTTTTTCTTGGTTGAAGGTTTATTGAAAATGAATTTATAATATCCTTACATACTAGAAAATAGGATATTGCATAATCACATATAGTTTATTTTGTTTCACAAAATAATTACATATGTAATTATTCAGTATCCAATTAAATTTCTTAGGGCCTGAACACAATGGAATTCTAAAGAGATCAGATGAACAGCTAGACTGGTGCAGAGTAATCCAAACATCTATTCTTTATGCTTTTCCAGAAATCCTTGCCAACCCTATTCATTTTTCTTTGCTACTATTATTAGCAAAGAGAGGAATTTAAATCTTAACACGCATTGAGACTTTTCAAAGTTTCATTGCAATCATTTATCATTCTCATTTTTGATACAGATGGGGTTATGTTTGTTGGAATTGGAATTAAGGATTTAGTTTATTTTTACTTTTCATCAAATGAAAATTGAGTGAAACAACTCAGATGTAATCATCAGCACCTGCTTTTCCATTAAAAGGCCCCTTACTAAACACTCAGTGTGTTGACTTTGTTTTTCCTTGTGTCGTAGGTCTATAAATACTCTGCACCAGTTTTGCTGTCCAGCTCCATTGTACCATACTCTACTAATTCTCCCTGCCACATACTCAGAGTACAGGTAAGAGTAGTGATGGACCACCCACTTCTTCCTCTCATAGAGTGATCTGGCCATACATTTATTTATGCTATAAAAGTCATAACCCATTCTATTCATTTTTTTAAAAAAAAATGTAAATAGATTTGCAGTGAAGGTTTTTGTGGAATTTCCAGAGAGAATTAGCATAAAATCAATAAATAAACAAAGGACATACAGGACATAAATAAATAAAGACATAAAGAAATAAGATAAAATATATTTGTCTTATTAATACCCATCTTTCTAGTCTGGAAAGTATTCAAGATAGCTTTAAAAATTATACATGAAGAGTACATGTGAAATGGACAGCTAGTTTCATGTTTTTTAATCAATAAAAGTTAGAGAGTGGCAATTTGCCATTTCATGGCTAAATATTTATATTAAATATTAATAATGTGTTCAAAAATCATGGCACTTTCATTCTCTAGGAAAGAATCTGCATTAAATACTAAATCTGTAAAGGCTGAAACGTTTGTTGATGTATGTCTGTATAATTCATTAATTCCTTATTTGTTTTCCATATTTTCAACATCATTCTCTGTTTCTTTTTATTGTTAGGGTTTTTTTTATACTTATAAATATACAATAAAGTGGATGTGTTATGCTCTTGTAGAAACTCTAAGTACCAAATCCAGTTTGCTCAAAACATTGACATTTAGAATAGTTTTTTTCCCTTTATTATTTGTAAATATATCTTGATCTTTGCTTTACAGCAGGGGTTCTCAACCTTGGCAACTTTAAGACTTGTGGACTTCAACTCCCAGAATTCCTCAGCCAGCAAAGCTCGCTGAGGAATTCTGGGAGTTGAAGTCCATAAGTCTTAAAGTTGCCAAGGTTGAGAACCCCTGCTTTACAGCATGTTTAAACTGTGTAGAGCAATTAACTAGAAACAGAACTACAGGAGCTGCTTTTATCATTTGTGAAGACTACAAACAGAGAAGGCTGTGACAGAGCTAGCAACTTAGAATTTATGAATGGTAGATGCATTCATTATTCAGTGGATCACAGATTGCAAGAAACTGCAGCAAATTATAGTTCTGTATTATATGGCGATAATACATTTGTTTGGAGTAAAAAAAATTTTTTAAAAAAATACCCACTAAGAAACTTTTGCTCTGCTACTTTTGTTTAATTAGTGCTTCATTTGGGCCTGAGATGGCCTGTTAGGTTGCATTCTAATGATCTCATGACCCTTTGAAAGCATATTTCCTAATGAAATTATAATTAATTGGTTTTATTATCTAAATATACAAATACAACATAGGTTTAGTAACACGCCCGTTTGAGTTTGCAAACATTTTTAATGTCATCTAAAAGGCCAGGTTTTTGCACTCCTTCATCAAGGCAGTTCCTGTTTAAATTTTGCTTCTATATATGACCGAAACTAAAGAAACATAGTCACAAATGCCCTTGGGCATCAGACCAATAAAATTCTCCAAAATATTGTCTTGTCTGAAGATTTTTTTCTTTTGCATATGTAGATTTATTTAATTTTCCTAGGAAGACATTCATTTTTCATCTTCCTTTGTAACCATGTGGATTAATTTCCAGGTACATTACTTTCCTGATGGTTCAAATTTTTGTTTCCATTCTTCAACATATGTTGTCTAAAAACTGTGGGCTAAAAATCTTGAAACTGGAAACTGTTTCTCTTCTTTTTCCCTTCCCCAGCAGCACCTGTGAAAGCAAAACTATATTGCAAAGGACGTTATAGTGCCAAAGAAATACCATCATTTTCTTGTATTACCTATCTGCATAATATTTGTTCGACACCTCTATGAGGTAAAAAAAAATTACTCTGAGAATATTTTTCTTTTAAAATAATGTTTGCTGTTGTTTGTGTTGCCCTAACTATATGGTGATTTCTGAAGCATCAAAAAAGTGTTGGTCAACTACACAGATTATCCTGATGGCAAAGAAGTCTAATTTGTATAAAATTTATAGTCTCTTATATAATAATAAGCAGAAATTGCCACGGGAGAGTCATGTTCGATGGCTGCAGAAAGCTACAGCTCTAAACATCTGTCTATATTTATTGTTTCAATGACTTGATAAGGTATTTCACTGTAAGATTATAAAGATTTTTATATATATTCTATAATCACAAAACCTGGATATGATGGGCAATGCCTGCTCATACATGTAACATGTTTTGTTAAAATCCAGTAACAATATTTAAGAACAAGATTATCTTTTTTTTATTCCAACACTGCACAGTTTTATTTGCAGTACTATTTTATTACAGTAATGTACTTTCTTATGGATAATCAGTTTTGTAAAGGGAAGGCTGCAAAAAGAGAAGAATAATGATAAGAATGGAACTCTGAGGATGCTAAATTTAATTAGCTAACCTGTGAGCCATTGGGTCATCCTTTCAGGGATATTTTCTTACTAAATAGAGAAACATAATGACTTTGGGTAGGTAGAAAAGCTGTAGGAGGTGAGTGACTTCTGATATCCTACTAGGTCCCCTATTGACTTTCATTGCACAAAGCTAGCAGGGAGCAGTAAAAATGATAATTATGTGATCCAGTCTGAGCAAATCAGTGCAGCAGCATGGCAGCAGTGAAGTGGCCACAAGTTTGCCAAATTTTAATCACATGGGAATCATGGGTCCTAGATTTTAGATCTGTAAGTTAGCCCATTTGAGATATATTCATGCAAAAATTATTGGCCTATGATGCACCATTTCTCCCAACTGAAGGTTACAAACAATCAAACAGACATGTAAGTTTTAGTAGTTTATAGATATTTAATAATAGGCTCATAGACTCATAGGGCTGGAAGGGATTTTAAAGATTTTTCCAGTCCAGCTCTCTGCCTCAGGCAGGAGTTCTCATACCTTCTCAGACAAGTCATTGTCCAATCTTTTCTTGAAAACCTCAAGCAATGGAGCACTTACAACTCCAGGAGGCAAGCAAATTACTTAACAGTTCTTACTGTGAAGAAATTTCTCCTTGTTGCCAGGTTGCATCTCTCCCTGATCAACTTCCATACATTACTTCTTGTCCCACACTCAAGTGCTAGGGAGAACAAATTAATATCCTCTTCTCTGTGGCAGCCCTTTCAATATTAGAAGACTGCTATCATGGTCTTTTCTTGATCTTTTCTTCATTAAGATAAACATAAAGGTAGTCCTTGACTCATAAGGACAATTGGGACCAGAATTCCCATTGATAAAATTAATCAGATTAGATTCACAGGAATCTTACACAGGCCCATGGAGAATATGTCAACCTTGAACAGAATCTGGCCCCCATGTCTACAGATACGGTACCAAAAAGGTTCATAAAGAAGAGAGGAGAATGTTTTCTAAAGGACAAGATTAGAAAAAGAAAGAGACCACTTTCATAAATGGAGTCAGATAACTTTCAGCCCATGGAGAAACTGGGAGGACCAGAATTCTTCTCTGTCTTTTTGCTTGACAAAGAGACACTCAGTAAATCAGGGTAGTCAGGAGCATCCTGGGATGCAGCAGACCACAAAGCAGCTAGAATAATATACCTAGTGGTGAGTGACTCCTTATTGTGCAGTTAAGGAATTTCAATCAAACCACAGATAGTTGAGATCTCTCTCTCTCTCTCTCTCTCTCTCTCTCTCTCTCTCTCTCTCTCTCTCTCTCTCTCTCTCTCTGTGTGTGTGTGTGTGAGAGAGAGAGAGAGAGAGAGCGCGCAAATAACTCACTTTGAGCCTATTTAGGGAGAGAGTACATGCAATAGAAATGAAAAAAGAAACTGATATTATTTCTGCATTGTTTGCAAGATTATAATCTGTATAAATCTGAAGTGCAAAAGGCAGTTCGCACTGAAGAATCTGCTTGTAAGGCCAGAAAAAAAGAAAGGAAAATTTCTTTTACAATGGCCTGGATCATTTGCAAGTCACTTGTTTTAAGGAGAGTGAGAAATGACAGAGCCATTAGGCTGCATTTCATAGAATGACTCATCTCAGACCAGTATTTTAAAAAGCCAGAGGGAGATCAAGCAATGAATGCAAGAACAAATGGACCATCAGATATCATCTGTTCTGATTTTGCTACATCTAATTTCATTAAAGAGAAAGGAGATTCACTGACATAAATTTAGTATAAATTTGCCATTTATTTGACAAACTGTCAAAAGATCACCTCAGCTGTGAGAGGCTCTAAAGATTGTGCATTACGGAAAGGAGAGGTGCTCAATTTAACAAGGAAAGATGCTTCTCCAGATCTGGAGAAAGTTTCCTTTCAATAAAATGTATCATATAAAAGGATGTGGCATAAGACAATCCTACTTATCTAACTGAGAGTGAACAATTGCGTATGAAAGGGATTTTCCAGCAAAATGGATTTAGTTTCTGTTTGCATATTGGAGGCTTAGTTCAAGCAGTAAATTCATATACAAATCAGTCTTGATGTCGACACTGTGAAAAAGCCAAAGGCATGTCTATAAATGAAAAAAGAAAAACATTTGTGCATAGGGATGGGTCCAGTATATCACTAGACTATATAGAAACAAGATTGTCATGCATCATCAGACAAGATACTTATTTTGTTACTTAATAAGTGAAAAGAATGAGGTCTGGAGAAATTGTGGCCCAAGCAAACCAGCAATTTGGTAAAAAAAAAAAAAAAAACCTCAAATATTTTGCCCAGACAACGGGGCAGAAAGGACAATGCGAAGTATTGAAGCAGGTTTTCTTCATGAACTTCAGTAATCTGTATCCTAGAGAGAAAATAAGGTGTCAGTTTTTGTTTCTATATACAGGCAAACAGCAAACAGAGATTACAAATTTCCTAAGACAACCTTGGATGCCCAGAAGTTGACTTTGTGACAGAGCTACACAAGGAAACTAATGCATTGCAGCCAGATGATCTTAAGTCTAACAAAGGTGTTCCAGGGCTGTCTTACATAGCAAGAAGGAACAAGTGGAAAGATGGAAGGGCACTGAAGAGATGAGAGCCACCAAGGAAGAGAAATGGAGAAAGACTACAGAAGAAGAGAATA